AGAGAGAGAGAGAGAGAGAGAGAGAGAGAGAGAGAGAATGACAGACAGGCAGAGGGACAAATGGATAGATGGATAGATAGGTAGACGTCGGTCCAGCAGATGGATGGATGGATGAACAGACAGATAGATAAATAGACAGATGGAAAGACGGTCAGACAAACGGACAGATAGATAGATAGATAGATAGATAGATAGACAGACGGACGGACAGATAGATATAGATAGATAGATCTACACTATATCTGTTTTTGTTGTTTTTGACACTATTCCTCCTGTACTGCGTAACCTTGCTTACTGTCTGATTAATTCTGTCTCATCATTCTCTGTCCTTCCTCTCTCTCCTGTCTCTGTAAACAGCACCAGTAATTATGAGAAATGAACAAATGAATGTCGTACTAATAGAGTTTCATTATGTTAATATGCTGTATGCCGCTGGGTGTATAAAAGACAGACTGTCCCTCATTCAGACACACACCTGCAGCAAATCTGTTGTTTGAAGGTTACTGATTGTCTCTTTTTTTCTGGAATCCGTTTTTTTTTTAAATAAATATTTATAAACAGCAACTGTTCTCTTATAAGGTAAGTATTATCTGTGTTGTGTTTAATGCTTTAACCACTTTAATATTTTTAGAATTGTGTCTGTGAAGTTACAACTTGAGGCAAAACATCAAAGATACAATTGATTAAATTAAATGATAACAATACAAATATGCATACACTCTAAAAAATAAAGGTTCCAAAACGATGTTTTTGCAGCAGTGCCACAGAAGAACCATTTTGGGTTTCCCAAAGATCTGTTCTTTTCTTAGCATGAAGAACATTTTAATAATTTGAAGAAGCTTCTTTTCACTAAAGAATCTTTTGTGCAATGGAAAGATACCATGGATGCTAAAGGATTTCCATGGAACCATAGATACAAAAGAAAACTTTATTTTTTTTAGGAGTGTACAAATGTCTTTATCATATTTGTTGAATATTATTATAATTCACTGATGCTTTATTGAAACCCGGGGAGGAAAATGTTAACAAAAAGGATATTTCAGATTAAATGGCTTTTAACAATTTTGGAAAGAAAAAAACTGTGACACAAATCTTGATCTTTTATTTAAATATATATATATATATATATAAAAAAAAGTAATCTCAGTCTTGCTGTTTCATATTGGTGAGTTTTACATATTTATTTATAAATACTGATTCATTTCTAATGTCATCCTTTAGGATTAATGTGATCTGGTAAACACCTAACACAACCTATAAATACAACAGCAACCATAATAAAAAAGATTGAATAAGGATTGTTTTTAAATTAATATTGTTTCCGTTACAGTGCATAGATATGGATGTATATGTTACATATAGTCTACTGTCTTTTTCACAGATGCAGACGAGTTGTGCTTTACTCTGTATCTCGCTCTTTGTCTTTACTGCACATCTGTCAAGGATCCATGGCATGACCCTCACGGTACACCTTCTATTACCTCTTCTGAAGCTCAACAAGATGATTGTTTTTTCGTCATCTCTTTTATGAGTCTCTTTGTTAATCCGACAGAATCCAGAGAAAAAGGGATGGACTCTGAACAGTGCTGGGTACCTACTAGGACCTTGTAAGTTCATTGTATTCAAATAATTAGACAAACGTGAAAATATTGTGTAAGTTTGTATTTTAAGTACATTTAATATTGGTTTTATTGTGATAATTTTGTGGCTGTCCTCTTGCAGATGCTCACAGAAGTCTTAATGTAAGACACAGACCTACGGGCAAAAGAGACATGTGGAATGAAAGTTCAAGCTTACCAGCATCTTCATACAGTCAGTTCTTAAAGCTTTTTTAATGAATTTTCTTCTTCATCTTCTTCTTATTATTATAGAAAACCTTAAACCTTATTGATATTAAGGAATAATCTGAGATGTTAGTACATTAATATTTTGTCCCCTTCTAAAATATTATTCTTTCTTGGTTATTCAGGTTGTTAGTTTTTGTCTAGTATTTTAAATAAATATTTTTTTTCTAAAGTAGTCTATTTTCATATTCCACAGATGATTCCTATCTTCTCTCACTGCTGGGTCATCTTGCATATCTGCGATTAAAAGGTGAATTACATAGTAGTTGATTTGTTTCATTACATTTCTAGTACCTGAAATGTATGCGATTCTTGGCATGCAAGTAAAAGTACTATTTTTCTCTTTCAGAAATGGGAATGACTGAAGATTTCAGTGGCTCTTTAATGAGTGGCCATATGAAGCAATAACAAAATATCAGTTGCCCTCTAATACAGTTTTGCATTTGATCCTTTTATTCATTATTTAAAATTGTATATTAACATGTAGTTCAAATTGGTAAAATGCGTACATTAATATCCCATGAATCATGCTGATTTGACTCATCTCTCCACTTTATTATTCAACCATTGTTGGTGCATAATTTTCTGCTTCAGAGTTCAAATAAAGCCCTTCATGACAAATGTTTTAAAAAACCTTTTACATTTATTCAATATAAAAAGGAAACTGAGGTAATCAGGGTGCAGCAATTTGTTGAGTCAGAGGTGAAAACTTGGTGATTTCACTATTGCCATTTACAAATACACATTTTAAATAAATTGCAAAATAATAACCCGCTGATTCCAAAAGCAATTTCGTATGACTAACACAGTAACAGAATAATTTTAAAAATATGACCAAAATGGTGAAAGTGGTGGAAGTGTATATGGCTATTAAGTGAATATGCACTGTAGTGTACCAGATTTCTTGATTACTAATGCGTCCAGAGCGCTCAGGGTGTTTTGGATTTCCTTCCATTTGATGTCAAATGTAGACTATTATGTAATGAGGAGCAAAGATTTAACATATGGCGCCATCTAATGGCAGATGGAGGAAACGTCATCCTTGCAAAACGATGCTGTGTTGATGACATCAGTTTATTTAGGGTTCATAAAAGACTCTCGGACATAAGCAAAACGGTTTGTAATAATAAATACAAATTAACAAATATAAAACATAAATTAAATAATTTATGGTCTAAATCTTTTGAAAATGTAAAACTCTTTACTAGAAATACCAAAGCACTGCTGCTGAGACAGGTTGGGGAAAACATGCGACCCTGGAATCTGCTGACCTTTGCTCTTCCAACAGCCAGACAAAGACAGTTGAGAAGGAACATTTATGCTTTACCACTTACTGATCATGCTCCACTGTTTGAGATAATTCATGGTCTAACAAGACAATAATCTAAATTAAAACCAAATAGTCCAGATAACCCAATTAATCTAAATGAGGAATGCCGAATATGAGTACATCAATACGTATAAGTCGATACATGTTTTGTGCCCCACAATACTCTGAAGTAATTGACGAATAACGAATCCATAATTTTTTTTTTAGCAAAATCAAAATTTTAGGTTAAAATAGGCGGAGGGTGAACCAACTCCAGGGTAAGGCTAAAAGCAGCCAAATGGGTCATATGATGTGATTTAAAATTTTCCTTTCTCTTTGAAGTGTTACAAGCTTTTCTATGGCTCTGGGCTAATCACAAAGCACTGGATAGCTGGCCAATCACAGCACACCTCGCTTTTCAGAACGATGAGCTTTGTAAAAATCGACGCGTTTCAGAAAGGCGGGGCATAGAGGAGAAGCAATAATGTACAGTAGGGGAAAATAATGTGTTTTTTTAACTTTAAACCGCATAAACACATTTCATTACACCAAATACACAAAATAATGTTCTTTTTAGCAACATCATATGACC